AGCTCTGCTAGTGCTTCTATTGGCTGTCGCTCAAGAAAGTCGCTGTTCATTTGCGTAAAGTTGAAGGATTCTTGTCGTGTCGTTCGACGTGCCCACCTCGTTGCCAATAATCGATGTGGCTCACGTAGATGGTGGTCAAAAAGTCGCTCACTCACTCTCCATTAAAATGAACATTGCATTTTTAAATGTACCTTTAAATCAATCCAGGAACTTTACAGCAGTTTACTGGTGTCACTGTGTGAAGTTATATTTTCTTCTGTGTATCTTTGTGCAGATTATTTGGCTGGTCAATTATGAAAAATAAATGATACTAAAATTGCCAGTAGGTGGCAACAGGTTCCTGTTTTCCTGAGTGGTGATTCAAATGAGTTGTTCAAAATGGGTTAATCATTTAGAAATGAAGCCACAGGAGATATAATAATGTAATATAATGTAGTAATAATCTAAATATTTTTTTTCAAAATTATAAATTGTTGAAGAGAGTGTGTCTAAAAAACATCAAATTTCTGGACAGTCTTTAATTATTTTATGCCATATAACGTATGTTATGGGTCAACCATAACCAAGTTAATGCCCGATCAGTTAAAATAAATACCAGAAAGCAAAACACAAATATATGACGTTTCTCCGAACAGGATCTGCACGTGACCCGCGGCTGGTTTGAGCAATACTGATTCACTGATTGCATTCACTCATTGGTTAATAAGCCTGTCTCACACAAAGAGGACTGAAATGCATATGCTCATGGATCGAGATGTGTCTAAATGTTTATACATTTGTATTGCAGTCTTTGCAGTCCCCCCCCCCCCACCCTCACCATTTACATCAATCTTGAAATGGGTCAATTTCACAGAAATGTGACAAGTTTGCACCCCCCTGTTAAAGTCAAGTGTAACTTATTTTCCCAAAAATACGGTGCATAACCTGAAAAGAGATATCCCTCCTGTTATTCATTATGCGCTCTTTATTGATTCCTGTAGAATCTTTGAGAATGGACAGGAGCGCGTTGAAGTGGAAGAAGACGGACAGTTGAAATCTCTAACCATTAATGGTAAGGAACAGCTCCTGCGATTGGAACACAAGTAAGATAATGGAGCGCTTGCTTTCAGCACAAACTTGAGCTCAAACAATGTTAGTACTGTCGTTCAGATGTCTGTACATTTCATTTTTTTCTGCTTGTTTGTTGTGTTCCCCCATTTATATCATTTTTAGATTTGTTTCCGAACAAATTTCTGTTTATATATTTATACATGGGGACTGTCAGCATTTTTGCGCAGGATGCGTGTAATTTTCCTTGTATTTGGGACCATAATGTGAGATTAGTTTTTTTTTTTTTTTTTTTTTTTCGCGAGCACTTGTGTTGAGTTGTGTTGCAGTTTCCTCATGAATGCACATGGCCTTTGGAATAGTGCTTTGGGCTGAAAGAAACAAGAGAACTGTGCTTTGTGCATGATTTTACCAACTGAGTGTGGAATTGGAGTACGTAACTTACTGTTCAAACCTAATGGCAACTTGTCTAAATTGTTTGTTAAACATTTGTAAATGCTGGTAGAGTGCTAGATCCATTGTACTGATATGCAATTTTTATTATTTTTATTCATGAAAAATGTTCTTTTTTTCCCTTCATTGTTGCATGTAAAACAACAGCTGTTGTTTATAGTTGTAATGTTATTACTAAATAACCTGATGAGAGTCAGAAGTTAATAATATATAACTGATTTATGACCATTCAAGGAACTTTGTGTACTTTGTAAAATAATTTGAACCTAAATAAATGAGTTTCATCCTTTTTGGGGATGTGGCAGCTCTGCAGTCTATGTAGTTTTGCTTTAACTGAGAGTGATTTTTTTTTTTATTTCTTTCCAAATCCAATCATTAAGGAAGCGTGTTGCGGCTTGTTTCCTTTAACTAACACTGCTCTACACTTTTATAACATAATGTGTTCGGCTTCTTTAGCAGAAACATTCTGCCAGACATTTAGCGTCAGTAAACTTGCATCAACTCCAATATGAGACTTCAATTCATGATGATCTATTATGATTTTTGCGAGGCCATTAAAGTGGAAAGCTGTATGTATCTTTCTTAAAGAGATAGTATGATAAGTTAATAGTATTATATAATCATTTCCTGTGAAGTTCTTATTTTTTTTGCAGAAATTCGGGTCCTTTTCCATTATTATTTTATATATAGAATCTAATCAAATGACTTTTCACAGTCTGGATGTTTCATTTCATAAGACCTCAGTAAATGAGTTTCATCCTTTTTGGATAAGTGCTTTGACAGCTAGCTCTCTGCAACTCCCACATGGTCACCCACTAAAGCTGAACAGGGCTGCACCTGGTCGGTACACGGATGGGAGACCACATGGGAAATCTAGGTTGCTGCCGGAAGTGGTGTTAGTGAAACCAACAGTGGGTGCTAAAACTGCATTCTGCATGGGTCCTAATGCCCCAGTATATTGATAAGTACTCTATACTGCTCAGTGAGCCCTGTCTTTCAGATGAGACGTAACTGAGGTCCCGACTCTCTGTGGTCAATTTAAAAATCCCAGGATGTCCTTTGAAAAGGAGTAGGGGTTTAACCCCGGCATCCTGACCAAATTTGTCCATCATGGCCTCCTAACCATCCCCATATCATCATTGGCTGATTGTCTCCTCACCACTAATCAGCTGGTGTGTGTTGTGCAGTCTGGCTGTGGCAATATGGCTGCCATTGCATCCTCCATGGATGCTGCACAGTGGTGGTGGATGAGGAGATTTCCCCCCAAAAATGTGTAAAAGCACTTTTGTGTTCAGAAAAGCGCTATAGACCATTTCAATGTGGTGAGGTCATTGGCCCATGAAACATTTCCTGCTTGTTATCTAACTGTTTCATAACTGCAGCAAGAGGCAATTCAATCACAACATTATTTATTAACATGTTTTTTTTCTTTCTTTCTTTTTTTTTTTTTTTTGATTATCCAAAGCTGTAGAAATAAAGTGTAAAACAGGAAATTCGCTGGGACCATTGTTTTTGTTTAAAACCCTTAAAAATGGTCTATAGAAATGTGAGGATATTCATTTTAGTCTGTAAATGTTTTGTTTTTAATTGCAAAGTGCTAATAACTAAAAATCATGTTTTTTATGTTCTACTGAATTACAACTCAAGATATTTTTTGGCTGAACCATTGCTCTAATAAGCTTTTAATAAAGATTGTGATAATTATAAATTCATTCATTTTATTTTCGACTTAGTCACTTTATTAATCTGGGGTCGCCACAGTAGAATGAACCGCCGTAATTATAAATGATATTTATTTATATATGAATTGCTTACCACAATATTTGGGTGTAAATTCAATAAGCTGTGCTTTAATGCAATATTAGTCATTGAAAAAAGGTATTAGCTGTAAAAAAAAAAAATAGTGCTTTAAAAGGATAATCCACCTAAAAACATAACTCGTCATCCTTTACTCATTTGAGTTTATTTTCTTTTGTTTAGCACACACACAAAAAAAGATATTTTGAAGAATGTTGTAAACCGGTAGCTGTTGACTTCCATTGTAGGGAAATAAAACTATTATGAAAGCCCGTGGCTACTAGTTTCCAACATTCCAAAAAAAGGTCTTCTGTTTTGGTGAACTATGCCTTTTTAAAATATTCAATGAAGACCCCGGATAGCTATCAATTAAAGATATAATGTTATATCTTTTGATATAGAATTATTAGCCCACCTTTGAATATTTTTTCCTTTTTTTTTATATATATTTCCAAATGATGTTTAACAAAGCAAGGACATTTTCACAGTATGTCTGATAATATTTTTTCTTCTGGAGAAAGTTTATTTGTTCTCATTTTCTTCTTTTTTGTTTTATTTCGGCAAGAATAAAAACAGTTCTTAATTTAAGAAACATTTTAAGGTCAGAATTATTAGTCCTTTAAAGCTATATATTTTTTCATTAGTCTACAGAACAAATCCTCATTATACAATAACTTGCCTAAATACCCTAACCTGCCTAGTTAACCTAATTAATTAATTTAAGCTGTATAGAATTGTCTTGATAAATATCTAGTCAAATATTATTTACTATCATCATGGCAAAGATAAAATATATCAGTTATTAGAAATGAGTTATTAAAACTATTATGTTTAGAAATGTGTTGAGGAAAATCTTCCCTCCGTTAAACAGTAATTGGGTAAAAAATAAACAGGGGGGAGAATAATTCTGGTGGGCTAATATGTCTGACTTCAACTGTATAAATTTAAGTCCTGCTACACAATCACATTCACCTGCATTTTAATCTCTGATCAGTGCTAAATGCCAAATGTGTCTGGCTGCAGAATGCATGGCTAACACGACTAACAAGCTTGGTGATTTTTGTTTGACGCTTTCTAAATGCCTCTCTCCCTCTGGTTGCCAGAGGTATAGTATGCATAGTGTACATTTGCCATCACCATCAAAGCACTAGTAATCAGTACGCGACACGTCTTTTTTCCAATCAATTAAAGGCCAATAATAACAACACAATTATTAAAATAGTCTAAACTGAACCGCACCCCTCTCTCTAGGAAAAGCCCAGGACATAGGCATGCTGGATTGTCAGAGACAGAGGAAGGAGCTCCCTGACTCCTCCTCCTCCTCTTCCTCCTCCTCACACTCTGCAAGGCATTCAGCTCAGAGAGAGGAGCAAAATAGAACCCCAGGCAAAGGTCAGAAGCCCGTTTCATATTTGGTGTGAGATTGCTGTAGCCCGAGCATGATACTCAAAAGTTATGTATCCCAACAGAGCAATCTGGAGTGAAGAGGAAGAGAATGACGGTCAACGGAGAGACCAAAAAGCCCAAAGAGTCCTAAATTTGACTGAGCCGTTAGTACCGATACTTCTAGTCCGACATACTGTAGCTGTGGATATTCTGTGTTGAGGTTGGAAAAACACTCTAGCATTTTCTTCTATTTTTGTGTGTACATTTATTTTTATGTTATTTTTTTGGAATGCAAAGTTTTAAAATGAGTTTTTAAGTTTTTTTTTTTTTTTGCCTCTACTAATCATTACAAATAGTAAACAAGCATCTGCTTTGAAGAACTGTGACCGATACTTAAATAAAAAGATGAGTAGTTTCAATGCAAATCTGAGCATTTCTCGTTTGCATGATTGATTTATTAATGATTGCACACAACCGGTTTACATAGCTTTTTCCATCTTTGGTTGAATTTCTAGTAATTCTGATTATATAACACTGAAAACACGACATGTTGGTATTTGGTTTAAGCTTCGTAGGTCATACTGAGAAATATAAGCCATGTCATCACTAGCTATGTTTCCATCCAAAAATGCAATTAACTTTATGAGCAAAACTGGATTATCACTAACGATATATGAGAATAAAGCAACGTTTCCATCCAATCAGTCAAAGCGAAACAAAATCATCACTTCCTGAATTATCTGGCTCCAAATAGCAACAGTAAAATTGGAATTTGCTGCGATAAGAGAAGCTGCATGAATCTTTTCTTCATTTAATAAATGACTTGCGCCTCAGAAGACAATCCTGCCACGCAGTGGCATTTAAAGGTGTAAGACGCGGGCGCTCTTGATTCTGGAGGTCATTAATAATATAATAACATTAATACTGAAATGTTTACGGCGTTTTAGAATGACCAAAACAACATTTCAGATGTTTTACAATGTGCTCAGCCTGCTTGTTTATCCATTCACACACATTTTCATCACATGACTTTTTTTAATGCGTGTTAATGCAGAATTTGTTTGGTAAAAGTGTTTCCATCGTAGGTTATGCGCATTTCTTCTCATCGAATAAAAAGTTTATCCTATTCAGTTATGCACAATTGTTTTTTATGTGCATTTTCAAAGTTTATGCGCATCTTGGCATCTCCATCAATCAATTTTATTTATTTTTTTATGCGCATATCCAAAATGGACATAATAGGTGGATGGAAACGTAGCTACTGTTTATGAGTAAATAGCGCAGCTCTGTTCAAGCAGTGCTGTGTTTATTAAGTTTTTCCGAAACTGCAGATTCCCTTCTTTCTGGCAGTCACTGCCCTGAGCAGAGGACCCCATTTGCTTTTGGTGAGGAGTTTCTCTTTCAGCTCCTGAAACACTGGGGGTCCGTCGTGTTCATCGGCCTCTGAACTGATCTCCATCTTCTGCACTATCAGCTTTAGCAGGTTGTGTTGCTTTTCCATGGTCTCTGAAATCTCCTTCAGCCTAAAAAAAGTCAAAGATAGTCTGGGTACAAAGGGCTTATTTCAGATATTTAATTGACCGAAAGGGATGATAGGAGAATTAAAGAAACAGAATTAACTTACCCTCAAGTGGTTACAAAAGATTTGCTAATTTTTCTTTCTTCAGTTGAACACAAAAGCTATTTTGAAGAAATTTGGAAGCATCCATTGTAGAATGGAAGTCAATGGTTTCCAATATTTTCTTTTGTGGTCAACTGAAGGAAGAAGCAGGTTTGAAACAAGTAAAAGGTCAATAAATGAGAATTTCCATTTTAGGGTAACAGGAGGTCCATTCACACTAAGAATTATAACTATAACTGCATTCATGCCATGTCAACATCACAAGATTCTAACTGGTAAAAATCTTTCATGTCCTTCTAGTACTTGTACTAACAACTTCAACTTGTTGTCTGACGTGACTGCTGTGCCATCTTTATTAAGGCACTATGTTAAGGCATTGATAGTGTTGCCCTGAAATGCTCAATTCTGAGTTTGAGGATATGAAGAGCATTGTGTTATGTCTGGTTATCTCAAAATGAATGTCATTTCGGCATGGTGTGAAGTGAACGTAGCTTATGTTATCCATCACACTGCACGATAATGCTTTGTTTACTATAAGCATGTGATGATTATTTTGTCTTCAGACAACGCTAAAGCACATTAAAGCTGGATCAATTCTGATAGGCTGTCAATGTTTTTATTATTCATCAGCTGGAAATAAAGTGTTCTGAAAGTGATTCTGATGCTATTATTCCTCTGTGCTAATATTATTATATTTGTATTATTCTGGCTATCACATTAACTGAAATTATATTCACTTGTGGTGAGAAAACAATCGGTATGTATGATGAGTTGTTACAAGCGGTTCTTGAAAAGCAACAGGGTTTGTTTTTGTAAGGCCACTCAAAATGAATCATTTAACCTGGAACAAAGATGAAGTGAAATGTCCAATTAAAATTTGCTCAAACTAATATATTTCAGTACAACTGTCCAGGACATACTTGCAAATGAACCCTTAATTTGTGAGAAAGTAAAGTAACAACAAACAAAAAAATCACAGTGAAGCTGTTGCTTATCTATTCTGTCAGGAATGTCAACGGGTGCAAACTGGCCAATAAGCCTGATTTGCATGTGACTTGAATTACCAAGTTTTGGTCTGTTATTTGTTAGATTGTGGTTACCTGTATTTCTGTTTGGTTAGCTCTCGTTCCAGTGGAGTTAACTGGTGGAAGGTAGGACCGAGACGGGTCCTGGACTTCACCTCATTCCCTCCGAAAAACCATCTTTTCTGTTCCCAAATACATTAAATCAGTTTTAATAACAGGTGAAAAATTCCTTGCCTTTACTAATACATTAAGATTTGTTAATATAAATTCTGGAAATGTTTTGTTGTACACAAAACTATACTAATAGTTGAAGTTGATAATTACCAAATAGGCCTTTTTGTCATACTGTAGGTCAACACTTCCAACAGACTTCCATAGTGGGAAGAAAAAACTAAGAAATCAATGGCTACTATTGACTATCTCATTCCCAACATTATTTAAAAACCTTGCACTCAACAGAAAAAAGAAAACAGGACAAATGGACGGTGAGAGAAAATGTGCAAATGGCTGGACCGAACACATTTCCCTTACAACTTCATTTTCATGTAATTTAATTATTAAATATAACGCTCTACTGCTTAAGGGCTGGGACACACACAGTTGATAGTCAACCATTGGGCAACATCAGACTGTCATTGATTGTCTTTCGGGGTATTTTGTTTTGGATGTTCCATATGTCACCTCACATTTGGCATTCACATGTTGCCTGATTTCAGTATGTAAATTCTGTATCGGGGCAGTCTGCGAGAGCACCCTGATTGGATCGTCAGCTACAGTTCGGATAGTCACAAACTTTAAGCAATGAATTGATGCCAAGAGGGAACACAAAGATGTGGGCTGTCATTTCATCGCATTTATGAAAAATGTGCAAATGATATGGATTGTCAGACATACTTAAGGTCTACTGCTTTGAGATTGTAAACATGATCAGTTTGCTGCTTTATCAAAGCATTTATTGTTTGATCATCTACCGCATAATTATCAGAGTTAATTTGCTCTTTGGCACATCACCATATAGTGTTTTTAGTATAAAGTCGGGCTGTCAGACCTTTCCGCTGAAGCATCTGTTTGGGTATTCTCTGATAGTGACCTGGTCCACCCGCTTCATGAACCAATAAGGAAGCCTCTCCTCCAGGTTAGTGTGGAGCTCAATCTGTTGAGTAAATTGACAGTAAACTATTGTTAAAGTCTTTAGTGAAATCAAAAGGTACACTTTAGTTTGCTAGCGCACAATGTTATTTTTTTGGTGAACAATTGCATCCAAGGTAATCCACTGAAAAAAGTGGTTTTTGTAATCATCAATTGAAGTCTGACCCCAGTTGCTTTTGTTAAATGGCTCAAGCCAGACTATTCTTAACCATGACCTTCTCAATAGTCCCGCTTATACTTAATATTACATTTCAGTTGAAAGTACATCAACATACTAAAATAAAAGTGTCAGCAACTACTGGTTCACACAGATTTTAACGAGATATCATTTATCCTTATGAGAACAAGGCATTATGAGTGTTACTGTGGAATTACCTGCATTGCAATCCTCTTTAAGCAGGCGTTTGTCTGAACCTCTGCTATGTCACCAACAGCCAAACCAATCTAAACATGAGTTATATATGTAATATGAGATAATGGATTGTTTTACATCTATTATGTTTAATTCTTACAGTGTTTGCTTTAGGACTTACCAGAAGGTTCATGAGAAGGATAGGCACAAGTAAGACAAACCACACAAATATTGCCAAAGTCAAATCAGGGAAAGGAAGATCTCCTTGCAGGTAGGGCTTCATGAAGTTGTCCTGGTAGTTCATTTCTCCTACCATCATGACAAAGGTCTGCAGCAGTGATAGGAACATCCTTCCAAAATGTTGCTGTGAAATAAATTCATATTTTACAATTGGCCATAAAAGAGATTTTTAAAATTTTATTTCACTGCCTATATGTGTCCACGTTGTAACAAAAGGTTTTTCCTGACATCAAAGTCTGTATAATTTTTGGGATGTTTAATCCCGGTTAATTAAAAGGATGTGACGTATACACACTCTGGAATACCACTCTTCTATATGACACAAAATGAATGCTAATAACATTCAGGATAACATAAAGGGCTATTCAGTGATTTAATGTCAATGTTCTGACCAATAAATGGATTCGTTCAAACTATATTCTGACATTGCCACATCTAATTCATCTACATTAAGTAGATCCACTGTTATGCCCAGTAGATTCCGTTCTTAATGTCCTATTTATATTTATAAAAACTGGATTTGTTCTTTCCTAAAGTGTATTAATAGCTATGTGCTAGTAGAAGTCTGTTATGTGAAAATAGCCTATGTGGTGCTCAATATTGTTTCTGGTGTCTATTTTCCTGCAGAGTACACCTCCAACCTTAATCAACCATCTCAACCAATAAATTTGGACCTGAACAGCACTTGATAATTACAGGCAAGTGTTTGATATAGGCTGCAAGTAAAATTTGCAAGAAAGTAGATCTCCAGGAACAGGGGTGGTTTACCCCTTGTCTAGATGGTAGCAAACATGAAGCAAAAAGAAGTTGCTTGCTGCAGTTCAATTGTGGGCCACCGGTGTCACTAATAACAAGCGTTTCTGAATTCTACACATGGACCCTTACAGCAAAGGTTGCCAAACTTGGTTCTGCAGAGTCCTGCAGAGTTTAGCTCCAACTTGCCTAAACACACCTGTCTGGAAGTTTGTAGTATACCTAAATAGAGTTTGATTATGTGATTTAGGTGTGTCTGAATATGTTTGAAACTACTAAAATCTGCAGGACACTAGCCCTCCAATACAGAGTTTAGGCACCTCTGCTTTACAGCATTCAGCTAATATTGCACATTTGCAAATTAAATATGTACACAGTCTTTTACAATCACTATACTCACCTGTTCGATCATCAAGGCATAGAAGGACAAAGCAAATCCCAATATCAGGTAAAAAAACAAAACGATAATGCTCAGCAGTGTCCGTGAAATCTCTCGAAACATCACCACATAAATACCAATCCGTTCAAACCTGCGGACAGAAGAGATTGCAGATAAGGCTTTACAAATGCTTCAGTGGACATGTTACTTGTGATCCTTGCAGTGATGTACCGCTGGAGATAGAGGAGCAGATTGAGCCAGGAGGTCAGGGCTGCCAGCGCACCAGCCTGCCAGTGCCACGAGCTCTTCAGATTCATCAGCAGCGGCACCACGAACAGCAGAGCACAGATCGCAGCCGCCCAGTCCATGTAGTTCGACAAATCCCGCAAATAATTCAGCCGCTTCCAAAGGCAAGATGACAGTTTCAATCATTAGACATATTTTAAGTTAGCAATTAAAACAAAGAGCTGATGAAATTGTGAGACTGCAGCAGTCTGTCAGAACGGTTTGGGAACGATGAGCAAAATTAGCCCAAGATTATTCCTCATTTTCATTCTTTTTCAGATAGTGCTCAACAGAGCAAGGACATTTTCACAGTATCTCCTAATAGATTTTTTCCTTCGGTTTTGTTTTTTGACTAGAAAAACAGAAACAGCTTTTACATTTTCGAAAATAGTTTTAAGGTCAATTTTATTAGCCCCCTTAAGTAATTGTTTTTAAATTGCATTGAATATTAGTATCTTGCAAAATAACTAGTAAAATATTATCTACTATGATCATGGCAAAGACAAAATAATTAGTTGTTGGTAATGAGTTATTAAACTATTATGTATAGATATTGTGCTGGAAAAAGTCTTTCATCTCTTGTTAAACATTCATTCCTTCGGCTTAGTCCCTCTCATTAAACGGTACTTGGGAAATATTTGAAAAGATTGAAAATTTCACAGGAAGGCAAATAATTTAGCCCTAAACTGCATATACTGTAGAGAGAGAGAAAGAGAGATGTTTTGACCATTTGTGTACATTTAAAAAAATAAAGTTTTCATTATACACATGATTGAGTAATTGTTTGATGGAACTCTGCATACATATATAAATGTTTACCACTGTCTTTAATCTGTATATTACGAAACTCAGATCTGCCAGATCAGTATTGAGAAGATGTGCTAGTAATCTGCAAGATTATAATGCAGTGTTATCACAAATGTACAAATAAGTTGACACTGTTTATACACATTTGGGTATAAACTGATTTTTTTTTTTTGACAGATATTGTGATTGTGATTTGATTTACAATTTAATTTTGCAGTCATGCTTCAGCTTAATAATCTGTAAGGCGTGGCAAAAAGTTTGTGACAACTCCTAAAAATTACCTGTTTTTATTCATTGTCTGTGACTTTAAAACCAAACTATTTCTATATTACAAATAACGCCCTAACTAACCAAACCCCTAACCCCAACCTCAGAACCATTCAAATAGAGTGTTGGTAGCATTATCTGATGGGTAGGATAAAATGTCAGGACACCTGGCAGTCACGCATTTGCTCTGGGTGGGGTAAATTAAATAATACATATATATATTTCATATTGCAGCCTTTTGCAATTAACTAATCGCAATGTTCCAAATTGCGATTGCGATTCGATTAATCTCACAGCTCTTATACACATAAGTAAAAAAAAAATTGCATGTATTAAACTATATAAATGAAAGCTTGGGAATATTAAGTTCAGCATAAACAAACCTGTTGAAACATTTGCAGGATCTCTTTCCCCACTGCATACATATTCATTGCAAGAACCAGCAGCATGCTTGATGTTGTCAGGTAGGATTGCTGTGTAAATCAAATATAAGCTTTTCTTGAGGGATACAGTAAAACAAAAGCTGCACTTTTGGATGAATTGCCTTGATTGTACCTTGTAGAGGGATGTGCAGACCATGTTGACTGATGTGACGTTTCTGGACGTGACCAGTGTGGGCTTCAGATTCACAATGAGGTATGTTAAAGGAAAGACCCCAAGTGCATAAACAGTCATATTGAGCAGGTGTGCTTTGATCCCATAGGCACTCCTATGGAAAAAAAAAGTTCTTTATTGTAGGATATTGAGACATGAATGCTTTCAGTAATAGGTGACTTACCACTTCATCTCCAAATATTTCTTGCACACTGGATGGGTGAGCAAATTGACACGGTTAAAATTCACCATAGCCTGTGGAGGAGATGTTTTCTGAACATGACCGTTCACAAATATATATTTTTTTCTTTAAGTCTTTATTTTTAAAAGTAGTACTTACATTTAGTGCGCTGAGAGGTTTGTATGCCATGTCTTTTTCCATGCCTGTTTTTTTAAGGTTTTGTAGTGGATGCTGAAGCCACCTGAAATTGTACTCAATCTGTGGAACATACAAGATACTGCTTAAAGAAGTTCTTATATTAAAGACTCACAACTTCAGCTTTATTTTTATTTGTATAGCGCTTTTACAATGTAGATTGTGTCAAAGCAGCTTTACATAAATGGTCATAGTAACTGGAACAGTGTAGTTCAGTTTTTAGTGTTTAAGTTCAGTTCAGTTTAGCTCAGTTCAGTGTGATTTAAAATCATTACTGAGAGTTCAAACACTGAAGAGCAAATTCATTGATACGTAGCTCTACCAATCCGGAACCATGCGAGCCAATAATGAACACACCCAATAATGTAAATTTACTCACCCTCAAGGGGTTCCAAAATTAAGATGTTTTGTATAATCTGTGTTGGGGAAAGTTACTTTTAAAAGTAATGCGCTATGTTACTTTAGAGTTACTTTTTTAAACCTGCCTAAGGCTTGATCTCTTTCAGAACTTGCAGAGTATTTTTCTTTTTTTAATGAGAAGCTCTGCATTTAACGACACACTGTATAACCTACAACTTCATTTTACCTAAAAGAAATTAGAAAAATCTAACCTTCTGAGAACTTCCTGACACTATACATGCCATATATACAGATATTGAAAGTTGAAAGCAATGTATTTGCAACTTTTGTATATTTGTCCTATTAGTCTAGTAAAATCACTGTCCATTGAGGCAATCCCCCTTTCTTTCATGCGTTTAGAATAATGAGACAAACTTCTGTTACAGAAGTGTAAGGATGTTCTGTTTGTTTCTGTCTGTTCCAGAGGGGAGCTCATTCACTCATGGAGTGTGATTTAACATGGTTACACTAATTCTAATTCAGCAAATTATTTTTAAAAGTAAATTAAATAATCTAAAAAGTAACTTGTTACATTTTTTATGAAAAGTAACTCAAATATTTTTACTTAATTTTTTTAGTGCGTTACTTTACTCGTTACTCATAAAAAAGTAATATTATAACAACTCACGTTAGTTGTAATGTGTTACCTCCCACACTGTGTATAATGTTGAAAAAAAGGTAGTCATTGACAAAAAATACTATGAAAGTAAATCATTCCCAACATTCTTCAAAATATTTTCTTTTGTGTTGAACAGATGAAGGAAACACAAAAGGATTGGGAACTTTTGTAGGGTGAGTAAAACATGTTCAGGTGATCTATGACTTCATGCGTCCTGTATGAAAGCAAACTTACATAGTAATTTGTGCAGTTAACATCTTCCTCGGATTCCCTTATGCAAGTGTCTAGAAGATGCTGTGGAGAAAAAAAAAGCCAAGCTATGCTAGTTAAAATTTTTAACTTTGAACTGAAGTGTCAGGCTTCAGCAACAAATAAACTCTCACTTTAAAGGACTCTGGAAGAAACTCGATCATGTCCATAACAATGCAGCGTTTCGTTGAGTTTGGTTTGTACGTTGTCATGGCCTCTTCACATCTGTGTTCAAAAAAGGAGATCAATTTTAAATTTGCAAAACATGTTAAACATTTATGCAAAATGGCTGTGCTGACCTGTCGCTCTCGATCACCATGTTGGTGACCTCCCTCCTTGCGTTATGCACAGCCTCATGCAGGAAAGAAGCATCGTTTTTGTTGAGGATTATCTTGGCACCTCTGTATAACAGCAATCGCACTGCTGCTACATGACCAGCTCTAGCAGCCAAATGTAGAGCTGTGTTCTGAAAGAGATCACATTTTTTTATATATAAATCTAATATAATAATAATATTTAGGCTAAGCCTATAATTGAAGCTGAAATCTGTTGTAACATTGTAAACGTGTGCTGTGTCTTTTGATCAAATTAATGCAAATGTGCTGAATAAAAGTGTTATTTTAAAATAAAAGTAATATTTAATAGCAAGCTACTCTGATTACGGTAAAGTCTGATTAACTTGCTTATAGTCCTATATAATTATGAAAAACAAAACATGTTAAAATTAAAGCTAGTAATCAGTAGTTTGTGACCAAGTTGTGTCTCAAGTGTTTTAGTAAATTTGACAAATTAAGTTACCCCATCTCCATCAGTTTTGTTCAGAAGTTTGATGTTAGATGTCAGCAAAGTGTCCATGGTCTGTGTGTATCCTTCAGATGCAGCATGATGCAGACCTGACCAACCTCTGTAATCACTGAACAAAGTATAGAAATAAAGTAAAAATCAAAATATATCCTTAAGCTATAGCCTACGGTAGCTAGGCTATATGTGTTTTACATTCCAATGTGTGACAACACAAGTAGTTTACCCCTGATGTTAAGTGGTTCAGTATGCTGAGTTGCCAATGCCTTGAGAAAATTATTGTTTAGTTAAAGAAAAGTAAAAACGGTATCCTGTCAGACTGATTACCACTTGTATAACCAGACGGTTCTACTTACAAAACATTCTTAAACTACGCGCTAACAGATTTTCGCGCTCTTTTCTCTTGTCTACTGACGCGCATGCTCGACTCAACTGATGAAGTCAAATGCTCTGACAGGAAATGGCCCCGAAATTGGGAAAAAAACTAGATAATTTGTAACATTTACAGGTAAGTATACAACCTTGCGCAGACAAAAACCCATTAAACATAAATGTTAGTTTGTTACAGTTTATCGTTTAAGACACATTGGTTCGAGCAGAGCAGCGAGTTCTTCGCTGTTTTTAACATATTTGTAACATCAGTTACATAAACAATATGGTCTTTTTTATGTGTAAATTCCAAGTTTGAAATTGTGTCAATCCGCACACCGTAGTTCCACTTGTGCAGCAGAAAACCGAACAAAAATCGTTTATAACGTGTGTGCCGCTACTACCAAACAATGTTAAGTGGTTTTGACCTGGACAAAGAGTGACTTGTTACCTGTGAAACAGCGCCCCCTTGCGCAGGAGCAACTCGACAACTTTAACGTGTCCCTCGCGAGAGGCCAGATGAAGCGGCGTCAGACCCTTCTCATCCCCCTCATTCAGCAACCTGGTGTCCGTCACCATCTCCAGGAGCCTGTGGCACGTGTTGATTCTCCCAAACCTCCACACATACAGAACACAAGGCACAAGCGTGAGTACATATAATTATTAATACAGAGTTTCTTGATTTTGTTGAAAATACTTAACCCCTGGCAAAAAAAATATGGAATAGCCATTGATGTTCACCCAGATGTTTTACTTTATAGCAACGGAACAAAACACAATAATTACACTACACTAAACTATTTTTGTTTACTAAATACTCTGGTTAGCCTGTGTGATTCATAGTAACTTTAACAAAATTAATTAAATTTTTGTTATTAATGTTTCCGAGATAAAAAGGCAAATACAGAATCATTCAATGTTGAGGAGATGGTTTGGAGATGGAATCAGCGTGTTATTTGCATTTCCAACACATGTTCCATCTAAAAATGCTAATTAGTCAGAATTTAAAGAGAGACCTGACAGGCTGCTGGACAATTTTGAAAGGAAATTTGACCCCAGCAGGACAGCTGTTAGTCAAAACAAGCAAAATATTTTAAAATATTGGTAACAAATTACTAGTATTGATGATAACAAGTGTTTTTTTATGCTGATTTGTATATTAGCTTCAACTTGATTCAGTTCAGTTCATCTTTATTTCTAAAGCACTTTGACAATGTAGATTGTGTCTAAGCAGCTTAACATAGAAGTTCTAGTAAAGTGAAACTGTGACAGTCTAGTTTTCAGAGTTGAAGTTCAGTTTAGTTCAGTTCAGCATGGTTTAAATTTCATTGCTGAAAGTCGAAACACTGTAGAGCAAATCCATTGATGCGCAGCTCCACAAGTCCCAAATCAAGCAAGACAGTGGCGAGGAACAAAACTTCACCAACTGACAAAAGCAAGAAAAACATTTTTTTGAGAGAGACCAGGGTCAAGTGGGTACAACCTACCATATAGAAAACATAAAAAAACATATAGCTACTTTCTTTGGTTTACTTGTATCATATAATCAGTGTTTGATTATTAAAATTAGTTTTGTGTCATTTCTGTGATTTGTTAATTTGCTGTGAATTAACATCTTCTAAGTGTGTTGATGGGGTTGTAAAAGCTCTTATCTCCACTTCTGGACAGCTTCAGTGACATCAGACTTACTCAGCTGCAAAATGAAGTGCAGATTTCTTCTCTTTGGACTTCTGGTCCAGCGAGACCTCCAGTCCCAGCATGTTCTTGACGGAGTCAGGTATTCCCAGTCTGCAGGCGTAATGGAGAGGCGTACAGCCCTCAATATCCTCATCATTAAGCAGCTCTCGTACACTCTCATGCTGAAAACAAAACAACAGCCTGTCAGTAAACAGTACAAGCTCTCACTCCTCTGTTCAGTGGCTCTAACAGTAGAGGGCAGCAGTCACTTAATTTTGGGATAATTGAGGAAGCTGTGGGATTGAGAACTACAGTGAAAGATGGCCACATTGTTTTAGGGCTTTGTACGTTTTACCTGCAGTACCTCTGTGGGCAGGTTTTTTAGTCCCCTGGGCTGCAGGATGGCCAGGTGCAAGAAGTTGCATCCAGATTTGTCTTTTTTTGTCAGATCAGCTCCTACAAAACACAATGTTTATCGGTTTGGAAATTGTTTACTTATTTTAATTATTATAATAAATTATAATGTTCTATTATATTATTTGATGATTATTATTATTAGTTATAACCATTAAGAATAAAATGCAAAGCAACAACAATAATAATTACATTGTTATCACATTTATTATTTAAAGATAAAATATAATTGTCCTAAAAATTATTATTATTATTATTATTATTATTATTATTATTATTATTATTATTATTATTATTATTATTTTACTAACAGGGACTAAGCCAAAAAGAAAATGAATGAGTGAATTTTACTAATGAAATTAATAAATAAAAACAAAGAAACTATAAATCATTCTAACAATAATATTATGTATAATATTTAAAAAATATATAGTAACAGCTATAATACATAATGTAAAAATGAAATGTATATTATTACAAATAATAATACATTAGAAATAATAATAGTTTTATAATTTATTTTATTATTATTAATAGCAATAATACATTCTTACAACATTGTTATTCATTCACTCATGTTCTTGTCGGCTTAGTCCCTTTATTAATCCAGGGTCGCCACAGCGGAATGAACCGCCAACTTATCCAGCAAGTTTTTACACAGCGGATGCCCTTCCAGCCACAACCCATCTCTGGCAAACATGTCTTTGGACTGTGGGGGAAACCGGAGCACCGGGAGGAAACCCACGCAAAGGCAGGGAGAACATGCAAACTCCACACAGAAACGCCAACTGAGCCGAGGTTCGAACCAGTGACCCAGCAACCTTCTTGCTGTGAGGCGTCAGCACTACCTACTGCGCCACTGCCTCGCCCACAACATTGTTATAAAATATATAAAAACTAAACTATTAAGAATAGAAGTACAAAAACATGTATTAAACAATTATTCTAAAACTTAAGCTACAAAAATTAATAAATATTTATTAGCATTATTGTAATATATATTTCAATGTTATTATTTATGACATTAATACTATTGTTAAAGTATTACTACTACTACTAATAAAGTTTGGTTATTTAATTGTTTTTATTTTTTATTAAAAGTAGGAGGAAAATTATAAATATGAAGAAAGTGTATACATAAAGAACAATAATAATACATTATACATAATAACATATTTTTATAATAAAATAATTATTAATGTATTATTAATTAACATCATTATAAATATTAATATGAATAATTCTGATAAAATATAACAATTATGATACAGTACAATATTTATTTTCAAATAAACATTGTTATGTATGTCATTATTATTCAGTTGTTGATATTAATCTATTATAGTTACCATGGGACAGAAGCAGATTAACTGTTCTCCATGCTCCGCAACTTGTTGCCAGAAGGAGTGGAGAATGGCCTTTGCAGTCAACAAAGTCAATGTTGGCACCCTGAAACAGTCAAAGTTTCCCATAATTAACAAAAGATTTATAGGCTACAAACTATAGAAGCATAGACTCTTATAAGCAACTCCAGTTGCCATACCTGTGACATAAGATACTCTGAAAGTTCGAAATGGTCAAAAATCACTGCTCTGAAAAGTGAAAAAATAAATGCAGAGAGCTCAGATACATTGATATGTTAATTTGATTAGACATATTCTCATTATTTTTACATTAGTATAACATAAAGCTGAAGTACTTGTGTAGTGGCGTCTGGTTGGCCCCGTCAGTTATGTTGATAAGATCACACACTTTAGGGTAAGACGAAAGCATGATTTTAACAACCTCAGTGGCACCTTGACTACATGCAAAGTGGAGAGCAGTGGATTTATCACACTGTAAAGAGTAAAAGACATTACAAATATCAAAATGGGATTGAAAGGCATTGCTTGTTGGTATTTTTATATTATATTTATCTTTTACCTGCTGCTGATCAATTTTGGCTCCGTATCCAATGCAGAGTTTAATGATGTCCAGATTTCCTCCACGCACAGCCAGGTGAAGTGGGCTGCTGCAAGATTTATCCACATAGTTTATATGGGCGTCAATGGACAAACCAGCTTCTTCTCCTGTGAAACATTCAGTAATATGAGACACTTAAAGTACTATATTAACGAGGCTCATAGTATTAATATAATGTTTCAGGCTCAGAATGCACTGCTTGTTCAGTGACGCAATATTCTCACCTTTCAGGAGAATGACCTCCATGGATTTCTTAGCTCCAGAAAAAGCAGCAGCATGAATTGGAAAATGTCCAAGGTTGTTCTGACGACAAAACTTTGCACCATGCTTGTACTGGAGGAAATAGGTCGCAAAGGTTGTATGGTTATCATTAGGAAATATTCATAGTCGTAAAATTCTGTTAATCAAATAATTAATTACAATCATTAAAAAAAAACTTTTAATAATTCTATTTATAACTGAAATGAAATATCTTGTCATGTTTTTCAGGATTTACCTAAAACATGCAGTGCAAATGCAATTAAAAGGCATTTAATTAAAATTTATTCTCAGAAAGTTATACTCAGAACATGTTGAAGACGAGTATTTAATCAAATCATAATACAAGATTAGTACTACAAACAGTAGTAGATCATTTTCTAACATGACCTCATAACCTCACAGAAAAACAGAATTATTTAAAATTTCAGCGAATCAGAAGCTAATCTGTATAAATGAATATGATCTCACTTGTATCGATTTTTAGAAAACAGTATGTTCGAAGTCCTGCCCCTAAACATAACCGTCTTGGGCAGGTGGTACAAAAAACAAACAAATTAAAATAATAATTAGATTAGGCAGTCATTTGCAGAAGATGTTATCCAAACATATCCATTACCATCAACGTTATTTTTAATTTGCAAGATTGTTGTTGGTCATTGGGGAAATGAGATTTGTTGTCTATGTTTGTTCATTTGAACATAATTAAATCAAGTTTAGTTTAGTTTGATAATAGACATCTCATAGGCATAGGTCACGCACTGCATTAGAGCGGTTGGTGACTTGTTTTCTTAGGTAGAACATTAAAGAAGACTTTTAGAGGATTCAAAATGTCAGTCAATGTCTGCCAGCACTTTGAAAGTCAACAAAAGCATATACAGGTACAGTGAAATTAATAATCATGGTTCCTGATGATATGTTAAAGTCTTAAAAAAAAAAAAAAAACTTGTTTACAACAGAGTATGAATATTTTGTAGTATCAAAACGGAATTTTTTGCAATCTGTATTTTTCAATCTGTAAAAAAAAGTGAGATTGAAATATATTATGGATGAATATAAATATAGTTTTGCCTTTATGTCTTTATTGATTCTGTCTTGTGTATTATGTATTTCCTAAAATTCCTCTTTAATGTTCTACAGATGAAAACATTTTACGTACATCTCGGATGACCTGAGGTTGAGTAAACGAACATAAAATAAGTATCTTAAACCAAATTTAAAAGTAAAGTAAATAAAACCAACTAAAAAAATCCACTTACCAATATACCCAGGGCCTCATGGTTGTCCAAAGCAGCGGATAAAATAACAGGAGTGTTTCCCAAATCTCCCTCCAGGTTCACATCAGTTTGTTTATGTGACACAAGTTGCTGTAATCACAAAAGACTCATGTCAACTACACCAAAAGCATAAATACAGTGTTTCTTGTAAAACATTACTGTGTTTGCAGAAAAAAGATGAGATTGACCCACCTCTAAGACAAAGTTTTTGCCCAGACTGACTGCCATATGAATGGGTGCCTGGTGGCTGTTGTTGAGGACGTTTGGATCTGCTCCCAGAGACAGAAGCACAGAGCAGCTCCCGGGCTGATCCTTCTGCACGGCCCAGTGAAGAGGTGTGTTTCCCTCCTCATCTCTCACATTGAGCTCTAAAATGATGACCATTATAATAAATACAGTAACAGAAGAGTCGACTCAGAACTGCAGTCCATAAACTTAGCCTGTTTATCACCATCTTTGTGGAATGATCAGATCTACATGGCTTGTGGCTCCTTGGCATGGATGAATGTTTTAAGGAGTTTTAAGGAGTTTGTGTGGCAGTTTGTGTGGCAGTCGTTGCACCAGTGTGGATGCTGTACTTCAAAATCATAGATTTTACATCTTGAAAGTTTAACCCAAATTAGAATTTTCACTGGAAAACGTCATATGAACAATTAGAGGCACGTTATGCCATTTTCACCACTAGAGGGTGTGTATTTACAAAAAAAAAAACATATTTATCCCATGACTGAGTATGCAATCATGGGAGTTGTCATCTTCAGTACATCCTACAGTACTAGTGCAGAAATCATGTTCATGTTCACAAGGTCGCATAGCCCTCGCCGTGGCCGACGCGCACCTCTCAAAAAAAATTTATCCACACGTCAAAACGACATGTAGTGCAAGCTCTGATTAGTTGGCTTGGTAGCTGTGCCGAGTGTGGGTGGTCCTGAGAGCCACGAGCCTGATGGAACGAGTGTTTACAAGTGTTGGGTTCCGTAAAGGCACTCTAGATATGTTGTTTACCTTATGATTAAAGTTGTTGCACTTCTATGGGTTCCTGAATAAGCGAGTTTTACATTAAGGTAGCCTTCAGAAAAAACAAAACACCTGATAAGAAACTCGATACAGAGGAGCATAACATAACCTACTGCCAGCTAGCATTTTGGAAGTGATATTGAAGAGCAACACAAACAGGACGCTGAAGTATAAATGCACAGCTTTGCGCAAGGCATGCACCTTGGGTCACAGTAGTCACTTGATGCAAAAGTATAAACCAACCTTAAGGCTGAAAGCTGTTGCTGAACATTCAAACAATTACTAATGTGAGACGAGCAGCAGAGCTTTTATTATGCCACAGTCCACCCTTATCTGTTAATAAAAGTCATAATCAAGGCTAGGAGGAAGCAGCGCTGTTTTATCATGATAAATACATTTTAAAGTTCGTCTTGAATGGTACTCTGTGCTGTCCAATAAAACACACAACATATTAAAGTGTCTTTGGCGTTTCCCTGTAGAATATAAATTAAAAAATTTTAATTGAAGGCGTATGACATCATACATCATTAGCTTGTGTCAAAACTGCTAATTTCACTGGATTTGAGCATTCTTCAAAACAGAACAACTGTACATATTATGCTTTTTAACATGTCTGTCATTTTTGGACATCACACTACAAAATGTGAATAAACCTAACAATCACGTAGCCCACATCCAACTGTGCAATTGATTTTAATTAATATAAACATTGTTTCCAAAGTACAGTTGAAGTCAGAATTGTTAGGCCCCCCTGAATTATTAGCCCCCCTGTTTATTGTTCCTTAATTTCTGTTTTAGAGAGAGAAGATTTTTTCAGCACATTTCTAATCATAATAGTTTTAATAACTCATTTCTAATGTGGAGAGTAAATTATATTTGACAAAAGATTTTTCAAGACACTTCTATACAGCTTAAAGTGACATTTAAAGGCTTAAATTAGGTTAACTAGGCAGGTTAGGGTAATTAGGCAAGTTATTGTATAACGATGGTTTATTCTGTAGACTATCGAATAAAAACATTGCTAATAGGGGCTAATCATTTTGACCTTAAAATGGCTTTTAAAAATGTAAAACCTACTTTTATTCTAGCTGAAATTAAACAAATAAGACTTTCTCCAGAAGAAAAAAACATTATCAGACATACTTTGAAAATGTCCTTGCTCTTTTGAACATCATTTGACAAATATTTAAAAAAAATAGATAAAAGAGGGGCTAATAATTCTGACTTCAACTGCATGTGTTTTAAATTTTAAGTTTATAAATGTTCTTTGCATGCGTTATATTCTACATACCTTCTGTATGTATACAGACATGACATAATAGCACACAGTCAAACAGCAAAATGCACCAGTAACACTCAGATTAGAACACATTGTTATAAGATTACCATTGTGAATCTGCAGTTGGAGGTAAGGTTATGGTTCTTTTAAATCACTTTTAATTTAAAAAAGTTATGGACTGCAGCTTTAATTGAAGCTAAAGGCATGGTTCAGTTACCTTGGTGTCCAACGATCTGCACGATATGTCTAATGATGCGGAAGTGCCCGTTGGCTGAAGCGTAGTGCAGTGGACTGGCACCAATGTTGTCGCGTGTGTCCAGATACCTGGAGTTTTTCTCCAGAGCCGCTGCGTTTCCTTGCTTAGTCCACTAAAAGCAGCAGAGTTTAAAACCCACTCATGAGGAACATCAGACAACATGCACAAGCTGTCAACCCACTCCACATGAAATGCATTTTCTCTCTCAGAAAAGTTGTAAAGTATTTTTTATGTACATTTCCAAAGCTTAATTTTTATTTATTACTATATTTATTCAGCAAGAACAGAATAAACTGAAAAAGAATCTTTAAAAAATGTATCACATTTTAACATTTATTTTAAGCTTTATGTAATTGTTACAAATATATATTAATGAAACATAAAAAAGACACAAGATATTTAAAATGATTATATTTCATCATAATAATGTTCCTACTGTGCTGTATTACAGAGCAAATAAATGCATAAGAAACATCTTCCTAAAGGAACTAATAAAACTTGCTAAAACACATGGCAAAATTACTAAAAACGTTCAAATTACAATGAAAACAACATTAAAAAGTAATGCAAAACTTTAATAAATTCTTTTTTCTTTTAATCTTTAATTAATATTTGAATAAAAAGTGACCTCAAAATAATAAATGGATAAATTTAGATAAGCAAAATACCTCAAACACATTAGCAGATATCTGGTTGCTTTCGTCTCCATCCATCACGCTGTCGTATGACTGCTGTCTAGATTTTTCGCTTTTGGAGATGTGTGTCATTTTTTTTGTCATCCTACAAGTGGGCCATGAAGAAATTCTGAAACACTTTCCAAAACAAATTAAAATATACTAAATTAAAATGCTTATTCATACACAAGCTTCATTTGATAAAAGAGAATTGCTTATTAACAACACACTAAAAAAGAGAATTAGAGGAAGCTTTTTATAAGGCTCATTCTTACCCATTTGGGAGCACTTCTTTATCGGCTTGTGTGTGGCTTTGCTGTCAGTGAGGGGTTTTATAGCGCGGTCAGATGTGTTTTTCTGATGCAACCAGATGCTTCCTAATGAGACTTACGCGTTATGGTTATGGGGGCTGAGAATCAAGTTCCACTACATGTATTACATTATGAAGTTTTATGTATGAAATGATAGAATTGGGATTGTATATAATTCATGATAATTATATTTTATTTACATCATCCTTCTTATTTTCAGTTAACTCAATAAATAAAGCATTACTTGTGTGGTTTGTAAATATCAATCAAGGATTTAAAAGTCAAAATGCTACATGTTACCATTAGAGTGGCCCATTTCAGGTCTAAGATCATTTCCTTTGGGTCCTGACGAGACATAAACACCCTGTGTTTTGTTCATGGGCCATTATTGCTCATGAAGGGAATGATATGCCAGATGTAACATAAGACTGATGTTCTTTTTTAAGACTGTGCTGATTATGGTTATATCCTTTTAGCACTTTCAATTCTCACAAGTCATTTTATTGGGTGCAGAACCAACAAATAAAAATTATTTTGATGATGATGAAGTTAATAGCTCATGTCTAATCTAATTATGAGTCTGTTTAGTAAGTTGCTCTACCTTGAGATACTTAGCCTGTAAAAATGGCTGTTAAATAATAAAAAGTGATTTTAATGTTAAAAATGCTACAATAAAAAGAGAGTTATAAGGCGAGTAACCATAATTGACTTTCCCAGAATTTCCCACTTTACTTTTAGAATTTTTTTTGTTATCATAATGTCAAATGTTGAAATATAATGTTTATTGCATCACTTAAAGATTGTATTTAGTAGATTTGTCAATGACAGAGAGCACCTTCTATATATTACGATGGATTTCTGCTTGTCAATAAGCTGTTTGCAATAACTGATCATGGTCTCATCACCACCTACTCATGGTGGTGTTTTTGTGTGTGTAACAAAGGTACAATGTTTAGATGTTAGTGCTTTAAAATATTGTTTTATTTATACTGTAAATTAATCAAATATGTTATTTTATTGTAAAATTTCGACTATATTTTTAAAGGTTATCATTTTATAAATTGTGACCAATTCAGTTGTAACCGTAACAAAATATCAAGTATTCTGTGAAGGTGCTTTATTTTTATAAAAATTTGGCTACACATCTATTTGACAGTGATATTAATGATGATGCTAATGTCCTAATACAGTTTGTTGGTTTTGGGGTTGGCTTTTATGTTAGAGGTCCTCTGGACCACCTCCATCCCTTTAGAGGTTCTTCCAAACACTATGGGCCCTATCATACACCCGGCGCAATGTGGCGCAAGGCGCGGCGCAATAGTCTTTTGCTACTTTCAGCTTGGCGCAAGAGTCGTTTTGAGGCGTTGGGCTACGCTGTTTATATCATATGTGCGCCCATAGGCGTTCTGGTCTAAAAAGGAAGGCGTTCTGAGACGTATTGCTGGCGCGTTGCTATTTTGAGAAACTGTAATAGATTTTTCAATAGACCAGAGCAAACCCAGTCTAAAGTCGAGCGCAGAGTTGCGCCTCGCTTACCCACTGCTTAATACACACAAGATGTAGAGCAAAATGCAAATATCTTTACATATGAAAAAAATATGAAAATATTAAGGATATATATATATATATATATATATATATATATATATATATATATATATATATATATATATATATAGGATATAAATATATAATACATTTTTTTCTAGCCTATATAAATATGAAAAATAACTGCTTTTATGCCTTCTTTATCTCGGGAGGCTTTTTCAGTGCATTTATAACAATTTGCTTTTGTATAATGTTATTATTATTAGCAGTATTATTTATTATATCCATATTTTTATTTGTTTTATTAAAACAAGCTTAGATTTGCCCGCCTGCAGGTTTTAGACCATATGGGGCACAGCATGTGTTTTAGGATATAACTCAGGTTTTTGAACACACTTCGTTATTATTGTTCATTTATTCGTTTGCTGGAAATTAGAACTGAATTTAGAAATAGTTTTGAAACAAATATTTGCGCTTAACCAAGGAAATTAATTATTTATAGGCTAATTGATTTCTGTGCGTAAAGGTTTCCCTATTCACGAGAGCGAAAGTGAAAGTAGATAATTTATCTCTCATTCTCGCGTGGTAGATGCTCTGTTTAACTGTTTTCTGTTAAAAAAACTGTTGACTGTTAACTGTTTGCTTGTGAAATGCTCAGTTTTTCCACTTACCCTTTACATCATGTAAATAGCAAACGCACTTATGGCGCAAGGCTCTTAAAGGGAATGGGAGATGAGACTCTGATTGGTTTATTCTCAAAACACACCTATAACTTATTAAGAAAATAAACTCAACCCTTTTAGACCATGCGCCACGGTGGAAAGCGGATTTTCCCATCCTTAAATTAGCAAAAATGCATTCTGACACGCCCTGAAAGCATTTGTGCCCTGCGTTTTGCGCTTTGCGCATGGACCGTCAAAATAGAGCCCAATGTGTTTGTTGTCTAGCCTGGGGTTGGGACGACGGTGATGAAGAACTGCGAGTCTTTGGTTCCTGGTCCTGTGTTAGACATGCTAATGGTGTAGGGTCTGTCATTGTCACAGCAAGAATGTCACTGCTTTGAGTCTCAACTGGGCCAGTTGGCATTTCTGTGTGAAGTTTGCATGTTCTCCCCGGGTTCACGTGAGTTTCCTCCGAGTGCTGCAGTTTCCCCACAGACCAAACACATGGGCTACAGGTTAATTGAATCAACTTAATTGTCTGTAGGGTATGAGTGTGTGTGAATGAGAGTGTATGGGTGTTTCCTAGTTTTCAGCTGGAGGGCATTCCGTTGTGTAAAACGTGTGCAGAGTAGTTGACGGTTCATTCCGCTGTGGTGACCTCTGAAATAGACTAAGCTAAAGGAAAATTAAAAAATGAGTATTCTGTAAATTACATTACATTTACCATGAACATTTAACTGCTCCATATTGCAAGATAATATCTTCACATAATAGCAGCACTCTCCACATATTAAGTTATTCTAAATTCTCTTTTTCGCCAATGTTATAAGATTGCAGTTTTACACCATCATACTGATAACCTTTCTTTAGTTGTATGGCAATACTACAGTTCAATCTGAAGCACAAAAATTCTGCCATACACTTTACTTCCTTATAAAAGGCATTTTGATTCATACAAACAAAGAACAGGCAACAGAGTGAACCACAAAATAGAAATTTACTCACCTTTTACTTACCCTCTAGTGGTTTCAATTTCAAACCTTTGAGTTTTTGTTTGTTGTTTGTTTGTTGTTTTATGGAAAATAAGATATTTTGAAGAATGTGGAAGTTCACTAAACATTGACATCCGTAGTAGAAAAAAAAGGCAGTGGAAGTCAATGGCAACTGTTTTCCAACACATGCATGCAAACATTGCTGCACACTAACTAGTCACCTGTGGGCAGAGCTAGCTAATTTGAGATTGTGATTGCCAACATAACATCAAAAACGTGTTTATTCAAAAGAATAAAATAAAACAATGGTTGTGTTATATTTTACAGACTCCATGTTTGTTAAAAGACATGGCCCAGACAATCCCACAATCCAGCAGATTTGGAAAACAGCTGTGGAAGTTCCCTGGAAGACAAACCTGTCTAGGGGATAAACCACCGCCAGATACTGTAGCTAGTATGGCTGACTTTGGGAAATTGGTTTAAAATAGCAAGAGTGATGGAGAGCGCAGAAGCTCTAATCATAGCAGGACAAGAACAAGCACTCAGCTCTAAATCAATAGGGATAGTCCTCCTGAGACAATACTGCACCAAATAGCAGGATGCATGAAGCAGACAGAGCAGCACAGCTTATTGCTGGATTTTACATAGAAGCATCCCAAAAAACAATTTACAGTGTTAAGTTATAAGTAAAATTCTCTTACTGTTTCAGTTATGTTCACACATGGGGTTGTAAATCATTAACTTTTGTTTATGCTAAACACATCAAGTAATGACAAATAAAAATGGGTTTAAAAAGAAAAGAAAATTTCAATACACTTTACAATAAGGTTCCATTAGTTAATGTTAGTTGCCTTATTTACTAATTAACTATTGCACTATAAGTTAACAAAAATTTTATTGTCATTAACACATGTTAAAGATACATGAATAAATACTGCAATAAATGTATTCATTATTTGTTCATGTTAGTAAATGCATGAACTAATGAAATGTTTGTAATGCATTGGCAAAGTTATTATATATATACATTTAGGCTATACCAGCCATGCTTTATTTCAGAAATTGGATCAAAATTGGTATTAAGATATATTCACAGACCATTTATTGCAGCTTCAATATCAACATTCTTTAAAATATGTTTCATGTCTGGAAAATGAAAAGTTTATAAAGGTTTGCAAAAACACAAATGTGTAAAAATGCTTACAGACTGTTAATGTTTGGATAAATTCTCCCTTTAAATCTGCTTTGATTAATATGAAAACATAGAATTAGTTTGTTTAAAAAAATCTTTAAGTATCTAAAACTGCCTGGAGGTGGTGGGAAATAGGTAATGAGAAAGTCACTGAGTCTTTTATTCAGTTGATTAGTTCAAAGGACTGATTCATTCAGCAATTTAGTTATCAGGAAAAACAATTTATTTATTTTTAACATTTGTTTTTCATGGCAAACCATCATGCTCAACTAAATACAGACTCTTTCTCTTTTCACAGATTGGATTGTATTAACTTTCAATAATCTCCAGTTTTTTACAGTTTTCAGCACTGTGAGAGCTTTGGAACCACCGGTACTACTGCTGATACAAGTGCAATAGGTTTGTCACTGTTTTGTCAATGTCAAC